GTTTTTGTCGCGACCGTTACGTTTCACCGATATGTACTTAAATGACACAGACGTCTACACGTATTTAGTCCCGTAAAGTGATTCAAGGAGAAGTCTCATTCAAACAGATTATACCGAACAACGACTCGAAATTAACTCCAGTCAATGTCATTTTCTTTACTGATGTAATGAATCAAGTCATTTCCGAAACGCCGTTAAACACTCTTTTGTATAACGACAGTGACATCATTGATTGTTTCATGTATGTCAAAGAATTTGAACAAGCAGCGTATTTTCAATATAGTCTTGGTGAACAGTGTTTGGAGTTGACGAGTAAAGAGATCGAAGACAACATGTGTTTTCCCGAAAACGTCTTTGAGAAGTTGTTTGTGATAGTGAAAAGCTTTTCTGGAGCGATGTCGTTGTTCATGACAGTTGGCAATTCGGTCTGGACGAAAAAGTGTTCCCAACATATCTTAGAAGTCATCTTACAAATCATTTTCGATAACGTTCAAATCATCGGACTGGGGAATGACATTTTTATGGTGAGTGGGATGTTGTGTTATTTCAATTCATTTGATGACGCGAACATGTTTGCGTGGGCTTATCACATAGATGAGACGTGTAAATGGGCGAGTGCGTTATATCAGCAATGTGTTGTGATGGGCAATTTACAGTATTTACGAGACTGGGCGGAGTGTTATGATATGGATAAAAAGACGTTAGGATGTCTTGAAGAGATCAAAGGGCGTTCGAAGAAGTTTCTTGAGCGGTGGGAAGTGTTTTATGATTTGGTTGAGTCGTTGTGGCCGTTTGTTGTTTCGATGAGATATGAAGAGAAAGTGATTGTCGAGAAAGTGCGCTCGTCACGACATAAACTGACGTTCAATTTCAATGTGAAGTGATTTATTTAGTTTCTTTCTATTCATCGAAACTATAATAACTATTTAAAAAACGTCTGAAGAATCAAAAGAAATTAAAACAATCAATGAGGATCATTAGTGTTACTCGATGATCTCATTGTTGCGTCACATATTCTTCCTACATCAAATGAACTTGATCGCATTGATACGGACGCCAAATTAGAATCTTTGGAAGTCCTCATCTCAACCTCATCGCCACGAATGGCTTGTTTTCCCGTCTGATCTAATAAGCCGACAGCTTCATGTCTTTCATTATAATCGACAGCAGACTCTAAGTCGTCACGACTTAAAACCAATTGATAAGGAGTGAACCCACGATCAACACGTTCGGGGAACCCTCGATGCTTGCCAAACATCATCACACAACACATAAAGACTTTACAAATGTCTTTAAAATTGGCAGAGACGGAATACGCGCCGTTTTTCATAGGAATTGAATATCCGACCGTGCCATATGCGGAAATGACTTCAAATAAGATCATGAACTCGGTGTAGTCGTTGTCAGCTCGTAACTCGTTTTGTTCGCAACAACAGATTAAGAAGAAGAATGAGTAGAAACAGATCACGTCAAACGCTAATAAGTTCTTTGCTTGGTACATCACACCACTGTCGGGATTATCATTTTCTTTACACCGCATATATGGGTTTGTCTCTCTTAATGTCACTGTAGTTGGATACGATGACAAGTACATGAAGCCTATCATCATCACGAGACATCCCGATGAGATCCTTCCGAAGTCCAATCCTGCGAAGCCTGCTGTTCTTGTCCACGTTGATTGTGTGAATATAGTAACAAATCTATATCCTGGGGGGATATCCTTAAACACTTTAAAGTCCAGTGACATTTCTATAATAGAATTAATAATCAAAATTATAACAAACACTCCACACAGCCATTTCGTAGCTTTCCATGGATAGATATGTGTCGAGCATCGTCGTGGGTATTGTAATATATATTTAATAGTTTTGTGGTGTTTAGTACACTTTAACACGAGATTGAGGAACTTAATGATGAAGAAGAGGACAATAGGATACGCCGTATTCCCCAAAAAGACTAACACGGTAGTTAACAATTGGAGGGCCGGATTCT